TGTGCCCACCCCTCATCGGAAAACCTGCTTCCCTGAGAAACAGTTGCATAATCAGGAAGTTTATTCTAATGTTTCCCCGAAAGCGGCTTACCTGTAATTTCTACCTATTCATTCTACTTCTACCTGTTTAAGCAACTCTGCTCCTTCTTCGCATATTTGAATTCAGGCATAATACCTCCCCCTTAATCTTCTCTTCCCCAAGCCTTTCTTACGGACTGGCCATGCCCCTCCAACACCTGAGTTCAGGGGAACAGCATCTTAGCACCAAGTCACAGTCAAATGGGGGTACTTCACAGAAGTTCGACTTTCCCTGCAAGTTTAGGACCTAGCTGCAGAACTGCTTCTCTTCTGATCATGCCTGGCTTCCCTCTCACACCACTCCTTCCTCACAAGTCCCTTCTCAGCAGGGTGTTCTGCTTAACATTTAGTCCTTCCCTGCAATTCTAACAAAGTAGAGAAGGTTTAATGCCATGCACTCGGTTTTGCCCAGACTTACCCTTGATTTCTCCTCTTTCTTCCCTCTCTTAGCTTCCTCTCCCCTCATTTTGCAATCTTCCCCACTTGAACTTCAAATTGTAAGCTCACTGGAGCAGAGGCTTGCTCTCTCTCCCTCTCGCTCTCTCTCCTGCACTCTGAAAGGAGGAGAAAAGCTGTAGTGCCAGAGCAGCCTTCTGCAACCTGGTGCCCTGCAGCCTCCCCAGCCAGCGTGCAACACACCTGGAGAGCACCAGCAGCAGGTTGCACGCTTCCAGTGCACCATCATAGCTTTTTCTTTACCAAACAGGGTAAGGCAGACAGATTTCATTGTTTCCCTTTTGCTATTGTATTATTGTTAGTAGTAGTAGTAGTAACATTACATTCCTGTACCTCCTGTAGCCGAAGCTCTCTGGGGAATTCATCACAGTTTAAGTCACCCATCCAGATTTCAACCCGGCCCAACTCTGCTTAGCTTCCAGGATGAGGTAAGATTAGGCACTTCAGGCTACATGGAAGCTATTGTGGGGATGGAGGTGGGGGAGGCTGAATCCGAGAGAGCCTTTGCCTTCCCAAGACCTGCTGCTTAATATCAGATACAGTGTGCTGGTGTGGTGCGGTGGTTAGAGAATTGGACTGGGGCTCCAGGAGATCCGGGTTCTAGTCCCCACTCAGCCATGATGCCCACTGGATGACAGTGGGCCAGTCAGAGCCTCTCAGTCCAACCCACCTCACAGGGTTGTTGTGGAGAGAACAACACAGAGCTCTGTAAGCCACCTCGAGTCGCAAGAGGAAAAAATGCAGTATGTGGCCATGATGATGTGGACGGAGTGTATGCATGTTTCCTTCTAAATAAGGCTCTGTTTAATGGAGCTTCCTCCCAAGCTAAGGGACGTAAGATAGGATTGCAGCCCTGATGAGTTCACAGGGTCGGCGAGATCTGTCTTCAGAGGGGCCATGTGGAAAGAACAGGACACTTTGGGCAGCGCTCGTTCACCACAAGTTGGAGACAACTTGACTGCACGTAGAAAAGTGTGTTCTCTTGAGCAGACCGAGACTGCGGAGTCCCAGGTTCAAATCCCCACTTGGCCATCAACTCACCCAGTGACCTGGGGCCGGCCCTTGTCTCTCAGTCTAACCCACCTCACAGGATTGTCGTGAAGGAGATCACCTTGGGCTCCTTGGTGGAACAGGAGGGAAATAAATGTATCAAGTACTGATAAATAAAGTGTGAAGTTAAACCTAATCACTGTAATCCAGCACAGAGCAAGACACTCTCAAGGCCCTGGCAAGCCATGTGCGGGATGACACAGGAATACCAAAGCCTTGACCAAAGTCCTGGTCCATCCAGGCTCATCAACACCTACCAGCAGGTTCTCCAGGGCTTCAGGCAGGATTCTTCCTCCAGTCTTCCTGGAGATGCAGGGGACTGAATCAGAGATTCAGGTCTTCTGCCTCTCAGCTTTGGCCAATGGCCTCCGCCCTTGGTCTTGAACTGGGCCAGAAATTCTTCTCTTTTGGGTTGTACAACAGTTGGCCAAAGCTGTCTTGTGCAAGCAGTGAGGGCTGTTTGATCACCTTCAGCTTTTTTTCTGCTTGTGTGGATGTTCTGAGGCAGTGCACAACTGAATGAATCATCCACACGTGGTCCTTGGGAATGAGAGACAGACAGACAGACAGACTAGCTTCTCCCAGCCACGCAGATGACCAAGGTCTCATGCACAGGGCTTGGGGTGGAATCATCACACACGTGGGGTGAAGACATCACTGGACAGTCAGAGATGTGTGGAGCTCTACTCCAAGCAAGCTGTGGCCAAGCTATACTCCCAACTCTGGGTCTCCAGATGTTGGACTTCAAGCCCCATCACTGCTGACCACAGGCCTTGCTCTCTGGGGATTATGAAATTTGTAGTCTGGGGAAACAACATGGTGAAAGGCAAGGAGAGGCGAGGTTGCCATCGGATGCCTACAAGCATCCCAAGGAGTCAACACCCTTGAACTCAGAGTCTCACTGCACCAAAGATGCGCAAAGGAACACTCCCGGACAGTGTTGGCACGCAGTGGCAGCTGCTGTCCCCTGGGGCTGTGGGACAGAGGCCAGGGCAGATGCTCAGTATTCTCTGAGGATGCTGGAGAAGCCCACGTGTGGCCTGTGGAAACAGAGAAGCACATCTGTGCAGTCGTGGGGGGAATCTTTGCCTTGGGGGTGCAGGGAGGCAGGGGATCCCTGCCCTCTGTGTTCCAAACATCAAGCGGTCTCTGAATCTTGGTAGAACCTAGGTGCATCCTAAGGAAGTCCCATCGAATTCAACGGAGCATCTCACGCCTGCTACCGCTGCCTCCCCTCCCCCAGCCACTTCTGTGCAAGTCTGCCCAGTCTTCCTTTACGGCATTAAAGCATGCACAGGTGCACCACAGGTGCAGCACAGGTGCAGCACATGGAAATGTACCCCCGCTGGTTTTAAGCAGGAAAAATCACGTCCAAGTGCTTGTACAGTACTTGGATCAGAAACCTCATCTTCTTGGGTTCATTCACATCTAAGGACCTGGAGCTTTGGGGTTGGGGTCAGTTGCTTTGGGTTTCAGCTCTTTCCCCCTGCCTGACTTAACCTATTACATGGAGGTTGGAGAATCAACTTAAGTTCCACAGGGTTCGGTCCTATTTTATGATGTCTCTTGGCATAAGAAAGAGTTATTGAGACACGTGTGCATCTGAGCATGAGCAAGACAAGTGTGCATTTGAGCATATGCAGAGGGGCATCTGTTGTGTGCTTAAACTTGGAAGAGGTGACGGGTGGGCGCTATTCCCAGCTTGGAGGCCCTGAGCTCCGATGAAAGGTTGGCTCCCTTTCACTAACCAAACCACCGTGCTATATACTGAAGTCAAAGAATCTTGTTCCCAGCAGTCGGCTAAGCTGGAGTTCCTTCCTCCAGTCCACCCATTTTACGCACAGCTATCGCGTCTCACTGGCAACAAATTCAGTGGGTCTCACTTCTGAGTAAAACCGACCAAGGATTGCACGGATCAGGGCGAGGCTTCCGCGGTTCAAGCCATCCTTCCAGTTCTGAATGAGCTTTCCCCCGAATTCGCCCTTCCACGACTTTCCCAGCCAGAAAATCCCGTGCGCTCAGTTCCGTCGCCACTACGGGCGCCTTTCCCACACCACTGCGGCCGCGCGGTCCACTCCCTACTTAAGCCGGCTCCAGCGGCCCAGATCCGGCCATGCTGGAGATGTGTTGGTCTACGAATCCCAGCACCCTGGCCGGCATGGGAGTTGTAGTACGACCCATCTGAAGGACACCCGATGGGGAAGGCTGTCCTAGCTTCAATGAACTCGGCGAGGCGTACCGCTGCGTTGAAATGCTTCGGCGTGGAACGCGTCGTAGTTTCCTCCAAATTGCACCCAAAATTACACCCCGCGGGCCGCCCCTTTCCGCGCGCCCCTCGCCCTCTTGCTTCGCTCTCCAGCCCTATCCGCATGTCTGATCGGCCTTAATCCGGATTCTTTGCGAACACAGAGACCCAGAGTGCCCCTAGAAGCCAGCGGCGATCCCACCGGCAGGGTCCGGACGCACCGCGAGTACACTCCGGGGACGGGTGTTTGGACACCCATCTATATTCAAGGATAGACGGCAGCTGAGCATGGAGGTTCTACGGAGTCCTGCAGACTAAAAGCTACGGGTGGAAGGCGCCTTCCCGGGAATTTGTCTACAGAGTTCCCCGGAGTCCCTGCCTGCAAAGCCACGGAGCTGATTGGTGATCCGCCTTCCGGCCGAACAAAACGGCACGCGAGGCGGCGGACGGCCTTCGCCACAGTGCGCGGCGCTGAATCCGGGGAGGCTCCGCTCGGACCACTCGAATCGTCCGGGGCAGCGCGGTCTAGAAATCGGGCTGTCCGGCGCGGCTGCGGTCCTGCTTTCGATGCGCGCCGCCGGAGAGACCTCCGAGGTCGCCACTGGCTCGCGTGGGCCGGGCGCAGGGGTCCCTCTGCCCCAGGGGAAGAGCGCCCCATTCCCTTCCCCGCCGCCCCTCCCGCCGCTCTCCGGGCGCCCACGTCGCTCCGCCGCTCAGGAGTGATTCTCAGCCAAGAGCCTCAGCCGGGGAGGAGGCAGCCCGCCTGGGCGCAAAGGCGCGGCGGCGCCCGCGGCCGCGCGTCCTGGTGCGCTCGGAGCCTCTCCCGCGCGGCCAGGGGTGACCTCGCCTCGCCGGCGTCCTCCCCCCTCCCCCTCCTCCCGCCCGCGAGGGGCCCGCGAGGCGCCCCCTCCCCCGGCCCCCCCCCCCCCAGCCTCGGAAGGGCTGGCGAAGCGAGCCTCCTTTAGACTCCAGGCATGCAGGGAGAGCTGTGAGATCACCCGGGTTATAAATATCTCCGTGCCAGCGCGCCGCGCGCCGGATCGCGCTCTCCCTCCAGCGGGCCGACCATGCCTCCCCAGCGCGGCGGCGGCGGCGGAGCGCACGCCCGCTCGCCCCAGAGGTGCTGCCGCCGCCGCCGCAAAATGCCCTGCGCATCCCTCGCTCTGGAAGAATGAGCTGGCCTCTCTTCCTCTGCCTTCTCGTGCTCAGCCACTTGGTCCTCCTCGCCTCGGCACGCAAGCAGACGCCGGCCCCGGGAGCGCACCTTGGCGACGCGGCTCTTCGCGCCCGCGGCGGCGGCGGCGGCGGCGGCAGGAGCAGCCTTGGAGGCCGGCACCCCGCTTCGCCGCTTTCTTCGACCTCCTCTTCAGCGCCCTCCTCTTATTTCGCTCCCGCGCTGGGAGTTCAAGGCAGCGACCCGGAAAGGAGCGACTTTCAGTGGGGCCCCTCCGGACGCCGAACCGGCAGCCTCTACTGCAGGGTGGGCATCGGCTTCCACCTCCAAATCCACCCCGACGGACACGTCGACGGCTCCCACCAAGGCAGCCTGCTAAGTAAGTGCCTTTGGCTCCTTTCCGCCAGGCAGGGCCGCCTGGGGTCACTCTGCATTTGGGCTGCTGGTGTAAGCGCGCGCGCGGGTGCGTGTGCAACGGGGTGGGGGGGTGCAATTCATTGTGCCCGTTTTTAGAGGGGACTGCTTTTCAGTGCGGCTACCGGTCCCAGTCTGGAGTGCTGGGAAGTTAATGCAACAGCGGTACATTCACTTCTGCGAAAATGCTCGTTTCCAGACTGACGATACAACGTAGAGACCTGTGGCACCTTTAAGACGACTCCACCAACGTGCCCGAATTATCTGGGTTCGTCTTGAAGGTGCCGCAGGACTCTTGGTTGGACTCTTGGTTTTGCTGCCACAGATTGACGCGGCTGCCCTCGGGAGAGCGAGCCGGTGAGCGCTACCCGGGGCATTCGATCGGGAATGTCTTCGGGAATCAGGATTTCGCCACTGACTTCACCCTGGTCTGTGGCTTGCACTCCGGCTCAGCGGAAATCCTGAGAATTCGGCTCTGGAATGGCCTAAGCCAAAGCCGGTGTTAGGGAAGGGATCCAAAGACAAGCAGGGACACACCCACCCACCTTAACTAGTTAGTCCTTTGCAAGATAAGTGAATAACCTCATCCGGGAAGATGGGAGTGGATGCTGCCCTGTTATGATCCTAGAAAAGAGAAAAGGGCGCAAACAAGCCAAGGCTTACACTTTCAGTATATTTATGTCTTGACTTCTCTGCCTTTCCTTCATGTCTGCTGAGCTCAGTGGGACTGATCTCGGAGTTGTCCTGCAAAGGATTGCAATGCAGGCTGCCATCCGGAGCACCAAAGGGCTAGTGAACTTAGAGGGAAATATTTTTGAGTAGCCACTTATGGGCTCGAGCTGCAGGTGATGATAAAGGTAGTGCAACACCTGAGCTACAAGAAGCTGCAGGGAGAAGCTCGGGGCTCCTTTGTTTGGCCGAGGGAGACCATCAGAAGTGGGCTGAGCATCCTGGCGGCTAGCAAGGGAGGGCTTGACACCTGAACCTGCGGGTAGAGCACAAAGCAGGTGCCACAGCCCACAAAGTCGCCAGTTTGAGCATTTTCCTGGACAGAAGCCCTCCAGGCAGAAGATGGAAGGGTCACATACAGCAGTGTTGCCTCATCCAAGAAAGACTTTGTTGAGCTGCAAAGCTGTGCCGACCCATCACGACCCCATGGACAACATTTCTCCAGGCGCTCCTGCACATTTACAAACTTGCATGCTGGGGGAAAGGGTTTGCCAAGGCATCTCCTTAGTACAGAGGATAAGCAACCTGGGGAAGCAGATGGGATCCTGGGAATGGGAGCTTTCCTGGAAAAGAGCTGGAGGAGCGAGGCCAAGAGATGAAGTGGCATCCTGCAAGTCTTCCTGAAGAGAGTGCTAAGCCTGGAGGATAAGAAAGAAGCAGCACGGGCAGTATGTTGGAGGGAGGGTCAGACTAGGCTCAGGAAGGTCTGGGTTCAAGTCCCTAGCCTGTTATAAAGCTCCCTGGGCAACCTGGAGCCAGTCACTCTTGTCCACGCCAACCTACCTCTGTGGGCTGTTGTGTGGCTAAATGCAGAGAGTGTACAACACTGGGAGCACCAAGGAGAAGTATAAATATAACCGAGGGAATGCAAACAGGCCCTACAGTTGGTTAAGGAAATGGCCTCTGGTCCCACTGACTGCTATGCATGACTTCGCTAGGGAAGTGTAATTGCTGGGGCACAGTACAGTGCAATCCTGTGAATGTCTACTCAGAAGGAAGTCCCACTGAATTCCTGGATGTGCATACAAGCCTGCAGCTTTCATTGTGGCCGCTGCTCTCACACGGTGGTCCCCCACTTGGGAGCTCTGTGCATGCATTACTGGTGCGGACAGTTTCCTATGGGACTCAAACCCCCAGGAAAGTCTGTGGGGGCCTCCCCTTGACGATGGTTTAGATCCAGCCCAGAGCTCTCTGCTTCCTTTCACTTGCAAGGAGCAAATAAGAAAAAGCGGCAAGCACAAATTACCCCGATTTGCTCTATAAATTCATGCTAATTGGCTTCTGGTTGTCTGGTAACAATTCCCCATTAATTCGTTCATTCATGTATGTTATGTTATTGATATTTATCAACTGCTCATCATCCAAAGATACCAAAGCAGTGAACAATAAACCACAGACATAGCCATAAAATCCAACAAAACAGTAACCAACAATTCCCAAAATAGCATTAAGAGCACTCAAAACAGGCAGAAGATACAGGCCAACTGAAATGCCTGTATAAGATAAACAGGGAAGAGTTCACCTCTTGCCTAAGATGAGAATGTCCCTGCCAGCGGCAGCTCTGTACTTGCAGCCGAGAGAGCACAATAGCAGGAAAGAGTGTTTCCCAGTGGCCAAACAATGAATAGAAGGTGCTTGGAGCAGAGGCTCTCTGCAGACGGGCAGGAATCGGGTGCCCAAGCCATCGAGGGCTTCCACAGAATCATTGAGTAGTAGAGTTGGAAGGCGCCATGAAGGCCATCAGGTCCACCTCCCTGCTGTTGCAGGGCACTTTGAACAAAACCACCAGCACCTTCAGCCCCATCCTGATATCATTTCTGGCAGGGGGGCCAACAGCCTCATTCCTGCATTACCAGATCCATCATATGAATGAGAGAGATTCAAACTGGGCTGGTGGCACTGCAGCCCAGAATCCTTCTGGTCCTCGGAGTCATTCAGATATCACCAGAGAGGCAATTTGGTGCCGCTGCTGCCTGTACAGTTCCAGGCCCACAGACATCTGTTGCCCTTCTCCCAGCCCTGCCTCAGCTAAGGGTGAGCCCTCAGGTCTGAGCATTTGGCAAAGGAACCCTGGAAGCTCCCTCATACGGCGTCAGATCTAGGACAACGGTTTCAGCATGGACTGCTGTCAGCTCTCGTCAGACTGGAGATGCCAGTGATCAAACCTGGACTCTCCCCATCCCAAACAAATGCTCTGCTCAGAGCTGTGGTCCCCCTGAAATAGAAAGAGGGCCAATAGTGCCGTGATCAGCCAGCCTCTGCAGGCAGGGGAATTCACTATTATTTATTTCTCAAATTTGTTGAAAAGGCACCCATTAGCAACATGCTCTCTGGGTAGCCATTGCAACATAAAAGCAGGAACTAACATTAATAAAACAATGCAATTAAATTGTCATAATAAATAAACCAAATACAATCACAATAAAATAATTAAATAAAAATGAAACATCCATTAACGTAATTTTAAAAGCATGCACTGATATAAATAGTTTAGATGGTGCCAAAGGAAATTTTTTGCCAGGCGCCTGAAACTCAACAGGCGCCTGGCAATTCCCCAGTGGAAGAGTGTTCCAAAATCAGGGTGCCACCACAGAGAAGGCCCTCCTCCTTTCAACCTCCCCCTTAACCTCCTTGGGGAGAGGCACTCGTAGGAGGGCCCTAGTCAAAGATTTTAGACAACAGGCGGGAAAGTTGCTCCCCAAGAGGAATGTATGGCTGCTCATTTTTTTAAAAAATCCTTAAATTTGAGCAGTGGGCATGACATGAACTTTGCTGTTGTCATTGTGAATATTAATAATACATAAGCCAGGGACACAGTGCAATAAAATGCAATATTAGAGAGCCAGTTTGGTGTGGTGGTTAAGATCACAGGACAGGGACTCAGGCAATCCGGGTTCTAGTCCCCGCTCGGCCATGGAGCCAACTGGGTGACTTTGGGCCAGTCACAGACACTCAGCCTCGCCTACCTCACAGGGTTGTTGTGACGATTGGGAGGAGGAGGAGAATTATGTTATCTGCCTTGAGGTCATTGAAAGGGGAAAAAAGGTGGGATATAATTATAATAAATAAGTACATAAAATATGATACATCATCATTAAAACCTCCAGTAGCTAGCCAAAGTATAATGTAAGGCTCACAGTCTCAGACATTTAAGGCACAGGACCAGATTACATCCCAAAGGTCAGGTAAACAAGTACATATCTGGTAAACTAACTAAAGTTCAATAATGTTGGGGCAACCACATTTTTCTAGAAAGGAAATTCCAAAATTGGGGCCCTGCTTAAGTCAGCACATCCTGGCTCAGGATCAAGGGCAGGGCAAATTTAAACCATGCAGCCCTGATACCAGCAGAAGAGCAGGCTGTTCTTAAGGCAGAGAGCTGGCCTTGATGAGCCTTCAGGAACCCTGCAATTCCGAGGCTGCAGTAGAATTATTCCACAAAATTGGTTGTTGGGTAGCTGGATTAGGCAGCTTTTCTCCCTGCTATCGATGTATTTTTATACACCACACAGGTATCAATGCTGTTTAACCAAGCCCTTTATTTACACAGCAAGAACTGGAACACATGTGGCACTGCTGTGCGATTCCTGCTGGAAAAAAAGCTTATTGTGTCAGCAGTTTACTGCTATTCACACCACTTTTCTCCGCCTCTTTATTTCACTGCATTTTTCTCTTCTCATCAAGTGCCTCATTTGAATTATCCATCTGTCTCCAGCTGTTTGATGTCAAACTTCTTTTCTATATTTTTGCTGCTCATTTCTTTGCAGTATCAATAAATATTTGCACAGTGAAATAAACGGTAAAAATAGCAAGTTAAGCAAAAGCAAGCATTCCTAAATGCCAGCATCTATTGCTGTTCCTCAGCCCCATAAAGAAAGAAGGCTGAGAAATGAGACATTGTGAAGGGCGGGAGAGAAAAGCTTTAAATAAAATAAATAAATGTGTTCAGTCCACTAAATACCAAATTCACTTCCTGGACCTAAATGTGAAATGAAACACAATTTGCCATCAAAATCTCAAAGGGTTCATTCAAGTTTGCAAAATCAAAGCAAAAAAACCATTGCAAGGCAGGCACATTTCTCATTCTCTCTCTCTCTCTCTCTCTCTCTCTCTCTCTCTCTCTCTCTCTCTCTCACACACACACACACACACACACACACACACACACTGTATACATGAGCTTAAAAGTTTATTAAAATGTATACATTTCAGGAATATGGGCAAAAACTTTATTCA